GAAGCACTAACAAAGCGCTCGTGAAGCGCTAACAGAGCGCTGCTAAAGCGCTCTCAAGGTGCAACTGAAGCGCTAAGAAGGCGCTACAAAACTGCAAATCGCGCTTTATACTAGAACTAATCTCGCGCTATAGGAAGCGCCACATGAGCGCCCTTTGGAGCGCTCACGTAGCGCTAACTTAGCGCTCCGCAGTATGTGTGAAGAGGTCTTAACCGGATCGTGGAAAAGTATCTCCAAGCTCCTCGTATGATCGCCAGCTTTGGCCCTTGAAAGGAACAATTTCTCCTTGACCTCTTCGTTCAGGGGGAGTTTTTGGTACACCGAGATTTCGCTATCCACATACCGGCGAAACAAGCGCACATCTTCGTACCACCACCACACGCGGCGTCGGTGCTGGGAAGCATTGAAAAATAATTTTCTTCTTTTGAAATACTCAAGAAGAACAATATATTTGTAAGAGATCCGTAGAAATGGACATGATTGATAAGTTGAATGGATACACAGTGTCAAAGATGCTTGCGTTGGCGAGAATGTTTTCAGTAAAATGATGCTCTATGGTGATCTTGGTACGACCGCTTGAGAACGACCCTCTCAAAGCTTTGGAGATTTGAATTGACCAAAATGGCGAGTGTCATGGTAACGAAGACCGATTAGCCATTCTCCTTGCGAGGTTTTGGTCGTGTGTATGATAGTATTTGTTTAAGTTCGGCTAGCAGGCAGGGAAAGCAATGCCGCTACTTTTCCAGAATCCAGTGAATTTATGTGCATAGTGCTAAAAAAATTCAAAATGGCTTGGAGATCCCAGAAAGAAAAGGACGACTACATGCCGTAGTCATCGTCGTGATCGTAATTGATGACTATGATGACTATGATCATCCCCAGAAATAAAAGGACGATGATGTGTGTATGTGCCATGTATGTGTATGCCTTCAATGTATGTTCACCTGATGTTTGTATTACGCACAATGTGTCTACATGTGTCTACATATGCGGATAATAAAGGTTCCTGTCGTAAAATGAGGAAAATATTTTTGAGGAACACGAATTGGGTGGTACCTAGCGCCACCTGGCCTAGCTTCTTGCACTTACTCTGCTTGACCCTGCCATCTGGTGGAGCGATATCACCTTCTTTCACGTTACGTGATAAATACCGGCTTGAAGTTTGTTCTTTTGGGAGCGGCTTTTTGTTTCGCGAATAGGTGTACCATTTGTCCGTTGTGTGCGGCTGACGAAGGAATTGCGACTCGAGGAATAGCAAAGGTAAGACGTAAAGTGCGCGAAGTAACTGGGTATCGGCTGTCTGCGTTTAACATCGCAGTCTGACGAAGACTGAGTAACTGCTTTTGAAACGCAAGTTTCTTTACCTGCCAGGGGAATCGGGCTTCGGAAATAAGCACAGTTCGCGGAAAGCTCGTCCACGGCCGGACTGGAAGCGCAAAGAGAGCGCGCGCTTCCAGTACGGCCGTGGCTCGTGTTACGCTTTTATTTGCTGCTCCCCTCGTCCCGTACAAGAGACGTAGCGTCCTCGCTAAGCCTTATTGAGCTCGATTTTCTCGATTCGGGGCCGCCATTATAAGATGCAGGCGACCGAGGAAATTCAGTTCAATGGTTCAGGGACGAAAGTTTCTCCCTTTCTGAAGGAACATACGTTACAAGACCGTTCCTCCCCCTAGGAAGGACTATCGATACCCTTTTTTCTAAGAGTGGCTGCCGAAACCTCTCGTGTCTGAATTTATCTTGGTATCAGCTGGTGGATCATAATGCGCTAGTACAGGTCTAGTTAATAAAGTTGACTTAACGAAACAAAGACCTTCTTTTGACTTTCACCCCACACAAATGAGGCGTTATTTTTCAGTAGATGGTTGTGCGAGCACAGGTGTCGGCAAAACCACGGATAAAACGACGGAAATACGAGCAGAGAAGAAGAAAGGAACGCATTATTTTCCTGTTGGTCGGACGCGGAAAATAGGAGACGGTAGCTAGTTTGTCATGCCTTGGCATAATTTCGTGCGTATCGACAGCATTACTGAGAATTTTGAGTGTTTGAGAGTTAAACCAGCATTTCTTGAAATTTAGCTGCAGGGAAGCACATATGAAACACAAAAGAACTGTACGTGGTCAAGGTAAACGCTCATCGAAGAAGGCAGAGTACACTACCACGTCGTCTAAATAACATAAACATGTTGTCCACCTTAGGCCGTGCAATTTGGTGTCCATCGTTCTATCGAATGTCGTGGGTTCTTTGCAAAGACCGAAGGCCATTACGCGGAAATTGTACAAGGCATGTTGAAGGCACCGACGGTTTCGCCATGAATGGAATGAGAATAATTTTCAACGTTTCCTAAATATACTTCGTTTCTACCGCAATCAGTAAGTGCTTGACATGAAGGTAAAAGTTAGATAATACGGCAAACAATGCCTACCAGATTCAGATTCAATGGTGATGTATATTAAAACTACGCCGACGCGGTGAATCAGATTTTTAGCAACACGGAGGCAACCTCCTTTTCAAGTTGTGCCAACAAGCCGAAATTTCTTTCTAACAACTTATGATAATATGTATTCATGTGCCTATGTCGATTAACTCCGTGAATCTCACCTTCATAATGATGATATCAAACAAATTTGATTCTGAAACAGTTAGTGAGGGATGTTCGTTGAGGGCAGAAGCAGGTGTACCCCCTTAAGCTACTGCATTTAGTTTTCCCCTCAAATGCAGGACTTGAAAATGATCTGGTCGGACCGAAGTGGTGAAGGCGACAGATAGCAAGGTGAAGGGGTCCTGTAGTGGCGACCCGGGTTAGGCGGGGGATGCTAAACGGCGCGGCGAGTTGAATCTGGCGGGGAAGTTGTATCGTGATCGCCGCGATTACGATTGCCATTGCGGTCCTGGTCAACGTCGTACAAAGAAGTTGGTCGCAAAGCGTAGGCGGTTGGTGAACAATCCCACTGGCGACGATGACATTACCGTGCAGCTTGCCTTCTATGGCTAAGTAAAAACGACTAGGGCACCAAGTTGCCTGTTGATACTCGTTGTCCCAGCGGCGTTCTCTGTGGTTGTTATTTCGGTGATGAAAATGGGGGGAGGGGAGAGGGGTGGGGGGGGGGGGGCGTTTAAGCTTGATGCGAAGTGATAATGACATACAGGTGAGGTGGCGGAGACAGTTTCTGTAGGTATCGTGAGGGAAGTTGATTATTCTTTACGAATGAGCCGCCGCAAGTTGTCCTAGGTGACGGCTTGCTTGTCAGCAGCGATGAAGTAGATGAACAAAATCAGTAGAAGTGCAAGTTCCGCTTTAATCAGGTCACTGATTGGCGTCTTCAGCTAGGTCGCGGAGCAGTAGCCGAGGCGGTACAGCTGTGTAGCCTGGAGACGGTGGCTTGACACGCGATGCGTCGTTTCCTATGGGCTTCCGATCGCCGACACTCCTTCTTTAACTGAGACAACGTAGTCGGGTTGCATGATGCGAGCATGACAAACGCATCTTCGTTGATACCTTTGATTATGAGTTCTACTTTCTCTGACTCGGACATGCAACTCTCGGCCCGCTTGCAGAGGGATTGGACGGTTTCTATGAAAGTTATGACAACCTCAAACACTGTGCCTGGCCGAGAAGCAATCCTCTGTTCGGAATTTTCATTACGGCTGACTAGACAGTCGAACATGCCGTACAGCCTGGTCTTAAAAGTGTCCCAAGAGTTGATTTTATCTTCCGGGTTATTAAACCTGGCCTGAGCAATGTCTCCAAGATAAAAGACGATGTTGGCTAGTTTAAACATGTTGTCCCCTGTGTTTTGCAGGCTTGCCCGTTCGTATGTGCGAAACCAATCCTCGACGACGTGTGTTCAGAAGCCGGTAAAAGCGGGGGGACCCTTGTAGTGGTATAGGATGGAGCCGCCTTTCCGGCCTGTGGCCGTGGTAGTTCATGGTTGCTACCGAACAACGAATTTGTTGCAGAGGCTTAGGGAAGGACCGCATCTCCACCAAATGATGTAATATTAAGAACTTTATTTCCATTAAGTATGATAGGGGACCCCAGAAAAAAAGACGTAGAGTACAGCTTGACAACTCCATGGGTCCCTGCAATAGAAACATAGAAAGCTACATACACACTGGAAGAAACTAAGGTTAAAGAAAATTAAGAGGAGTTATACGCCTACAAAAAAAAAGCTAAAACAAAAATTGCATACAATGCAAAAATTGAGTAGAAAAATACATCCTTAAGTATTTAAATGGTAAGCCGTATAGATCCATACTATATATGTGAAGATTGCTTAATAAATAGGGCAGAGTGGAACTTATCACTTGAGATTTAACATTCTAACTCAGTCAAGGTTGAGATTTTTTAAACGAGATCAGAACTTGTTGTTTACTCAAAAAGTAATACAAAAAAAAACAAAAAAAACTGCAGTACATGCATCCACAGATGACAGAACTGAAACGATGATGTCAATCAGTGTTTACTTCAAGACAAACGATTACTTCACTGATTCGGGGATATAAAGTTTGATCAAATTATCGAAGCGATGCCTAAGAAAGTAGTGCACGGCCATCGATGCATCCTTCGCCCAGCTATTCAAGTACGAGTCTTCCCTACAATATTCTATGAAATGGTTCCTTCGTCGAAGTGTTGATTAATGTTCTCTTCTAACGTTTTACACTATCAGTCCCTATGATATTTAGGTTTCAAAGTAAAATTAGAGGTAAAACAATATAATAATCCTGAGATATTTTCAGTCACCACAAACGTCAAGAGGATAAAATACGTTAAACGAGCACAAGACGTGTTTTCGACTTTCATCATCGGTTACTTTTTAATAAAAGTGTCCAAATGGTATCCAATGAGTCTTCTTAACGAACGATGAAACAGTTTTTGAAACATAATTCGCGCAGTAGCTCGTGGGTGTAACGGCTTCCTCTTTCTTTCTCTGATCCCGCGCTTCCGCTGATAAAAAAACATTTGCAGTCAGGAAACCGGAGCTGCCTCCGTCGGCGATGCCGGGAGACTCCCGGGGATTACCCGCCGTCGGACTCCATCCTTCAGGCGGCGCACGAGGAAGCTGTCAGCGTCCGATGCTGTCCGTTGCAAGTTTCGAGTGATGAATGCAATGAGCCCTTTCGCAACGAGAAGTGGAAATGGCCCCTTCACCGTTCACGTATATATAAACAAGCAAGTCCAAAGGCGAACCAACACAGCCTTTGATATCGCCTCGTTCGACGGGCCAGTTTCTTCCTGTTAGAATGTCTCGTATCGCACTGTATCTCTTTGTCGCTCTGGCTGGTGAGTACGATTCTACTTTGCATCCCCTCGTGGAGTCATTGAGAAAGCGCAATAATTATTCATATTGTGAATGACCGAGTGGTTTAGCATAAACTCAAATTTCTCATCGTGCCTCTTTTTTTTAGCTTCAGGGAAAGCTTAGTGTAGCGAATATATAAACGTGTACCACTAATTTATGATGCTGTTGAGAGCACGGGAGTTGAACAACCTGGTGCATGATAATATTTTTCTAGATATTTTATTTGATGTACGGTGCCAATGCTATAACTGAGGCATGCAAAATGTTTCTGGGCGCGCTTCCTTCAAACATTCCAAAAAATACAGCTTGCTTTGCTTTGGTCGCGCTATAACTTATACTTAATATTTAATGCTTAATGCTATAGTAATACTTAATACCTATATTTTAATCCTTCTGTAGCAGTCCCAGATGAAGTAAATATATTACATTTTCCTAAAATTAAGGATACGACCTTATTCTTTGCGTTATAGTATCCGTGACAAAGCAGAAATCAGAAATGAATACAATTTCTTTATATTGCTGGATGTCTCATATATATCTCTTGTGTTCATTTCAGTGCTTGCCATAACCCACGCTGTGAGTATTTTACGTGAAATCTTACGTGAATGGTGTCGCAATATAGCACAGATATTAGAGTTCACTTGTGTCAGTGTCTTATTTCTCCACATCAAGCAGTCGAGGAAGTCTTAATACGCTTCACATACTTGATACGGGTTGCTATCGGTGTTGTAACTATTTCGTTTACTTCAACGACCTAGGTTGACATGTAAGTTTCTCCAGGAAATAGAACTAAAATTAAGTTCGAATGCATCAAAATGTGCTGGCACGTATAGAGAGGCTACTTTGAGTTTTTTTCCACAATTCACAAGACATGAATATACGAATGTGATAATTCCAAACGCTTCTCCAGATTTATATGTCAAAGTTTTTTTGAAGAAATTTATTATTACTAAGGTTAACTATCTGATTGTGACCCTTAAATCGAAAAACCACGCCCCTTGACATAACTCTTCAAGTTAAGAAGTATCGACTCCTTGTTTCTATAAAGTGCACATCCAATAAGTTCCGTCAGGACTTCACTACAATCCTGAAATGCTCCTTGCGTGTCTCTCTTAAAAACTCGGAAAGGCAATCCGAGCGAATTGTGAAGAAACGCTCGGCGAGATTCGCTGCCGGAAATGCGCTTTAACTAAAAAACTAAATCCTGGTATGTCAGTGGAAATTAGGTTTCACGTGTTTATGCCATGCTCAATGTCACAACGTATACATACTTTTTAGGACGAAACATGCATTATGCCTTGTCATTTGCCAAGCCCCCTCTCAGGCACGTAGCCAGGGGGGGGGGGGGGGGGGGGCATGGGGCCCGGGCCACCCCCCTCCCCAACGAAATCTTCCATTTTGCTGGGACCTCCTCTCCACCTCCCCCTCATACAGCATTTTGTCATGGGCGCCCCGCCCCCCCTCCACGGAGCAAAATCCTGGCTACGTGGCTGCTCCCTCTGTCGATTGCAGTGGTAGGCTCTTTGGGTGTTGTGCGGGAAAGTAGGTGCACGGACAACTTTTAGCTATGCCCCAATGCATGACAAAAGATTGTAACCTGTTCCGTCGAGAAAATGGCATTTTTGTTTCAAATATGTAAGCATAAACTGATCGACATCTGCATAAGCAAAGCAATGTTTGCACACGTGCTTTGCCGAAGTGTCGACGAAGGATGGTGACTGATTTTTGAAACAAGCTTATCAATTTATGATGCGAAGTATTGATTCGAACAGCATCCTGCTCTGGCATAATAATCATTAGATTATTTTAGTTAGTACTGTCTTCCGAGCCAATGTTTTGTTTTTGTCATAAAATGCATAGAAATGCATTTTATAAAGGGCGTCATGAAGCTTGAAGTTTATTTTGAAATTCAAGTTTTTTTAGTCAAATATTTATCGGTACTTCAGACGCGGGTCTTGAGTTTTTGTATTTTATTTATCCATTCATTCCAGATAAATATTTGTGTTTTTAGGATGGCTAGTATTATGTATGCCTAATATTTTTGTTCTGTAAATTACAGCAACGAAGACCGAATTTCAACTTCCAGCAACCTCCACCTCGTGTAAGTACTTTTAGTTTTTATGCGTTTATAACGCCCGTTTATAGCACGAGGAAGTGTTTTACGTTTCACCGGTAAAGCATGAGCAGAGGGAATTTAGGTTTTTATCTCTGCTTTTAACCTTATGTAAATTTGTACTGAGCCGAAACTTTGGAACAGCTGGTTGACGCTACACATGTGGAACTTCCGCAGAAATATTCACATTCCGATTGAAATATTCTAGATATTTTATATGCCCAACAAACAAAAACCAAGTGTGCAACTTTTCAAAAAAAAAAAATTAAAACTCACGCGCTTTTTAATACCTGATAAGGTAGTTCACACCAGGCACGCAGCCAGGCTTTTGGTTCGGGGGGGTGGGGGGGGGGGGCCGCCCATGACAAATTGCTGCATGAGGAGGAGGGGAGAGAGGAGGTCCCGGGAAAATCGAAGTTTTCGGGGCGGGGAGGGGGGGGGGGGGGTACGGGCCCCATGGGCCTCCCCCCTGGCTACGTGCCTGGTTCACACAAATGCTACTTTGATGGAAAAACGCAATAGGTGTTTTTCAACAATCTATACTATCTCTGTGCAGGAAAGTTTTTTTACAAATTACTAAATTAAAAAGTTTGTTCATCAATATGTGTTAAATAGTCAGTTTGGCAGATTCCAGGAAATAATGCCCTCACTTGCTCAGCTGCACTGTAAGAAAAGTGGGTTAGCTAAACAAGCATATAGCTCAATAGCCTTTTGAAGTTCTTGGCACAAGTTAACTTAAAGAGTTTGCATTCTTATAGAGTACGGAATCTAGCACATGCTCCAATCGAGGACTTAAAAAAAAAGCCCGTATTTTTGAGGATGGAGAAAAAAAGGACGTCGCTAACATGTCTCGTAAGGCCAATACCAAAAAATAATTAATTTCAATTGGGAACAATGTTGCGTTCTGTTAAAATGTGAGTTATAAGGAACCTCTTTCGCAGAAGAGCGACAACGACAAAGTGTAACTACGCAGGATGAACAAAATCATCATAACAACCGTAAACATCTTGAACACCCGAGACTTGGATCCAAAAAATTGAAAACACACTCAAGTCTCAAGACGTGTGTGTGTTTGAACATGTATTGCGCCAAGACATACGTCTCAGGCGCAATAGATGTTCAAAGTTCACCAGCTAGCCTGGTTGATCTCTGCTGTTCCAATCACCATTGTGTTTAACAATACCTAAATAAGCATAGGATAACAAAAAATTGCCTAATTATCGCGACAGACCGACCTCATGCTGCCTAAACAACTGATATATATTCTCGTGTTTTCTTTTTTTCCTTTTGTTTTTTCTATAGCACCGCTTTGAGCTCCAGGGAAGTGGTGGAGGCCGAAACCGCGGCAACTACCACGTCAACCTGGGTGCTCGGGGGGAGTACGACATCCACCGCTTCAAGAACGGAGGAAAGGTGGTGGGCTACGGACAAGGCTCCCAGAGCTTCGGTCGCTTCGACGGACAATCCTACAAAGGAAAGCCTCAAGGAGAAGTCGGTGTTCGGGTCGAGATTCCCATCGGGAAAGGCAAATGAGAAGATACCCAGAATATCCTTCTATTCACTCCTTCATACGCCAAAAATGGTCTTCATTTGTGTTGGTTTGTGTGTTCCCGACGAGATAATTTCATCACATTTATGGGGTGGAAACATCAGTATGTATAGCACGATAGGTTCCATTAATATTAAATATATATAACTTCCACAATCTATTTGGCTCCTCATTCTTCATACTATTCCATTCACAAAGAGCGATAATTGAAATAACAATTCTGCACTTACTAATATGCATAATGGCGAGAATATGCTGATAACGTATTATGCAATACCAGAAAATAAAGCATTATTCTTCATCTTCTTCTTCTTGTTCTTTTTCTTCTTCTTGTTATTATTATTATTATTATGATTAGTGTTACAACCTATATTTTAGCATTATACTCCGGCCATGTACAGTTGTATACTTTAGCGGCCGGACTGGGTCAGTGAAAACAGCAGACGTCATATCTCTGTGCAGTCCACCATGAACACTAGACCTATAGAAAAACATAAAAAAATAGTAAATCTATCATCTTTTAAATCCACCTAGGACTGAGTGGAGAAAAGAAGAAAAAAGAACAGACCATTTCCTTTGTCTTCTTGTTTAGATATTCGTGCCCCCCCCCCCCCCCCCAGTCTCAGGTGGCTTAAGAAAATGGCACATCTGCAACACCTCACCTGCACCATAAATGTTTTATTATAAAATTTGTAGCTAGGACAGTCATATTTTTTTTTATAAATATACCTAAAGTATACAGTGTGTTCTAGCCACTAAAACTATTAAAAAAAGATCACTGCAAATATCGACCTGCTTCATTTGCTCTTCTTTGAACGACGCCTGCAGAAGTAAGGTAATAAATATAATGTAACCATTTTGTTCTTAGCCCGATACTGAGGCAGGAAAAGAGGAAAGTTTCAAAGTAGAAGAAAAATGAACAGTCGAAGACACGTCTCTAATTAGAGACGTGTCTTCGACTGTTCATTTTTCTTCTACTTTGAAACTTTCCTCTTTTCCTGCTCAGTCTCGGGCTAAGAACAAAATGGTTAACATCCACCAGCTCGCCTGCGCAATCACTACATTATCATTGATTATACCTGAAGCAGGCTTGATCCCCTTCTCATGTGCTTTTTTTTAATAGAGATGTGTCTTCGACTGTTCATTTTTCTTCTACTTTGAAACTTTCCTCTTTTCCTGCCTCAGTCTCGGGCTAAGAACAAAATGGTTAACATCCACCAGCTCGCCTGCGCAATCACTACATTATCATTGAAATATAATGTAATAATTAACCAATTGATCACCTAAAATCATCACTTAACGTTTGCTCGAGACTTGTTGCCCATGGCTGTTGTTCAAATTCGGACAAATAAATGTGGGTGAGAGTATGACCTAACTTGATAAAGGTATTACGAGGTGGAAAGGAATAGTTCCCAATATGCATATTAGGTCCGTTTGCGACTTGAACTTCAATCCAAACGCATTAATTTAGCTCCAGGTCAGACCGTCGAAAGCACGATAACGATTTGCGTTCTACCTTAATCACGCCTCTCCCTAGAGTGGATTCACAACATTCCTGATTTTTAAACCACAAAGTATGCGGTTTGTTGTTCATTCTGATTTGTATTCTCTTTACTTGACTTGCATTGGTCTGAAAACTTTCAGTTTTGCCTCTTTTTTAACTAATATTTTCATTTCACTTCAAACCTTGTCACAAGTATTGTAGTCGCTCAAATTTGTAGCGATAAATTAATTTTAGAATTTTTACACGAAAATGTTTATGCTCATTGCTATGATAATATTATTACAGCGCTTCGTTCGCCCCATTGACTCGGATGCGGACCACGTATGACAAGTATTTTAACCCTGACGTCAACCTTTTCACTACCCTTACTTGTTATAAAAAAGTGGTAATACTGGGGCTCATTTTGTAGTATGAAATTATTTTAGTCTCATTATTTTTCACTTCGAGAAAGTGTAACCCTTTTAACGCCTTATCAGCTGTTCGGGACATAATAAAACACGGAAACACGACCTCAGCTCCCCTCACTCCGGAACTTGATGCCTAATCGGCGTCGGCATCTCCTGGCAGGGACTTCAAAAAAACGTGATGACGATGAAGCGAGATCTATAGACCTTTCCAGCGGAAGTCTCGAACGAAGCATTTTACAGCGCGCGTCCCTGGTTTTGAGAGGGTACATCAATGTTGCCCGACTGCTCTGGGCTGGGGGTTTTCTCGCCAGTGGGCTGTGGCAGCCTGAGTAGGCACACTTCCGGACGCGGATGAAGGCTAAATTGCCGCGTTCTATTTTTTATTTTGTGTTCTATGGCGAATAGCATTTCTCGTTTTTTTTAAGAATGCACTGTACTATTTTTGGGAACAAAAACGTAGAAATGAAAGCTTGCTGTATTGGTGAGTCCGTGCGCGACAGAACTAATGCAGCTGGTATGTTTGTCTTATATTAGGTTGATCTTTTTACGGCACCGTGCACTCAGCCTTGCTAAACTACAAAGGTCTCGACCGTCGAAAATATTTGACCACACAGGTTATCCCCGCTCACAACATGAAATTCAATGAGTCTCATCAATCGAACAACATATATTGTACGTACCCCGCGGTGTCGCGTTATCCGAATAGGATTTCAGAAACGTGTCAAATAACACAGGATATTCAATATAGAGTGTCGACGATAGTCACTTCACGACGATCGGACGAAATCCGACGTGTTTTGGGGCACATGTAGGAGAGAGCTACTTTTTTGCACAGCTTCAAAGCAAATGAACGAACGTGTCACCCCGGACCGGACCATAGCTATTTTTCGCGAAGACCCGGAACATAGCCGGGAAGGCTTTTTGGAGATTATCTCAACGAAAATAACACTCCAAGAACGTCGAACTGCCTGCGTCGCGGGCTGCTTGACGTCCACTCTCTTGGTCCGTTTCTTGCGACGGCCGAGCAGGCTAGGAGCCCTGGTATTCCCTGGTTCTCATAGTTGAAGATAAACGGCCGTTCACACTCTTGCGACCGAGTACGACTGAGAGAGACCAGACCGGTTTTTAAGCCTCTTGCGACTTCTTAGGACCAGCTCCGCTGCAACGTAGCTGGTCCTAGGAGATCGCAAGGAGCTTAAAAACAGGTCTCGTCTCTCTCAGTCGTACTCGGTTGCAAGAATGTGAACGGTCCTTAACACACAAAGGGTAAGCATCCTAAACAGACAAAAAAAAAATAAAAAAATTTAAAGAAAAGTCGGCGAACTTTGAATGCAGAATGCAGGTGGAGAGTCACGCTGACCGGGTTTCCACAGCTCAGGCGGGTGGCAGAAATTTCTGGCTGATAGTGGTCGCTCGAGTCGCAAAATGGCGGCGGCCAGAGAGCTCTTTTAGAGCGCAGCTCTTAGGGGCCCGTTCCCGGCTTGAGCGGCGTCGCCGTCGCCGCCGCCGTCGCCGTCGCCGTCGGCGTAACCGCGCGGTGCATTATGGGTAAATTTCCCCGCTAAATCTAGCGGAAAAAATTTCCCCGCTAAATCTAGCGGAAAAAATTTCCCCGCTAAATCTAGCGGAAAAATTTTCCCGCTAAATCTAGCGGAAAAAATTTCCCCGCTAAATCTAGCGGAAAAAATTTCCCCGCTAAATCTAGCGGAAAAATTTCCCCGTCAAATCTAGCGGAAACAATTTTCCCGCTAAATCTAGCGGAAAACTTTCCCCGCTAAATCTAGCGGAAAAAATTTCCCCGCTAAATCTAGCGGAAAAATTTCCCCGTCAAATGTAGCGGAAAAAATTTTCCCGCTAAATCTAGCGGAAAACTTTCCCCGCTAAATCCTAGCGGAAAAAATTTCCCCGCTAAATGTAGCGAAAAAAATTTCCCCGCTAAATCTAGCGGAAAACTTTCCCCGCTAAATCTAGCGGAAAAAATTTTCCCGCTAAATCTAGCGGAAAAATTTCCCCGCTAAATCTAGCGGAAAAAAAATCCCCGCTAAATCTAGCGGAAAAAATTTCCCCGCTAAATCTAGCGGAAAACTTTCCCCGCTAAATCTAGCGGAAGACATTTCCCCGCTAAATCTATTGGAAAAATTTTGGTCACGTGACCCGGGGGGTCACGTGACCTGGGGAGTCACGTGACCCCCTCCCGAGGTCACGTGACCTCTGAGGGGTGCACGTGTTTGCCCCCACGTGACCCCACCAAGGTCACGTGCCCTCGGGGGGGGTCACGTGACCCCCCGCCCGAGAACACGTGGCCCTCAGTACCCTCCCCTCCTCCTCCTCAAGAGCTGCGCTCCAATTCGGCGTTACAGGGAGTGGTAAACGACTTTCACTTTTTGCAAAGTTATTACTGTACTCGGTTTCACCTTACCACGAACTGCAATGGACGCTACGAACAATCCCAGCCAATCAGGCGTTGTGCACGTATCACATCAGCAGCGCCACGATGGTCGCTGCTCCCCTCTTGGAGGTCACGTGACACTAACACGGCATTGGATTGGCTGAAGGGCCGCGTAGCGCCCACTGCGGAGCACCGTAAGGTGAAAAGGTTTTGAAAGGAAAGGACTGACTGTAAGAAATGGCACAAAAACTACGGGTGTTGTTTCGAATGACTTTACCCCTGACTAGTGCGATCGGGAATCTGGCCAAAAAAGAACTTTATGTTTTGTCAAAGTACGGTGCTGTAACGATGGGTGAGGCAGGTCAATTAGCATAGGCAAGTCATTATGCGGTTCGTGAGGGTGCTAATGAGTTTAAGTAGGACAATCTTATTAATTAATTTTCGAAACTAGAATAATCGTTGTTTCGTGTTTACTCAGCTGAATGTATCACAGGCTCTGTTCAGTTGCAACGATTACGGCATTTCCGCTGACTGCAATTCTGTTGCTACGGCCCACGTGACGAGCGCTGGTTCCGGAGTAGGAAAAGAGTGAAGCGTTTGCCAGCAAGGACCATTCTTTAGAAACCCTTTCAGAATCCAATTATGACACCCTATGAGCAGTTCACCTGGGCTAAAGTTAAGATTGAGCGCTGTCGCACCGTACCTCTGGGTTACAAAATAGATGGTTGAAGAAAAACGAACCTGACTAACTACAGGATTCAGCTCAACGATCCCCGTCCAAAGGACACAGACTTTTTATTACTTCAAGCCAGCATCAGCTTCAACCAGATTTGTGATTGTTACTTGAAAAATGTAATGGATTGAAATTACAAATTACCGAGCCTCAAATGTAATGGATAATCATTACAAATAACTTTGGATGAAAAGACATGGACTAATTTACTCATTACGGTACAAATTCCTTTCTCGTTACTTTTTCCGTACACTTATGCAGAAAGCAATAGATAC